GCTTCTGGCCACATGTCCATCCGAAGTATGAATTTACACTATCCCAAGGGGGCCGGGATCGCTACCCCTGAGGTTCCCTTCTTAAAAACAATACGCGGGGACATGTTTGTTCTAACATAAGACTTTTCACGACTCCCTTGCAACACATGGGGCGAAGTGCACACGCGCGCGTCGTCGCGCGCGCATGCCGAAATCCTTCAAAAACCTTCGGTGTCGGAAGGGTTTCGCAATCGAGTTCCCCAAACACATACAAAAACACAAGGTTTCGCAACACTGATTCGCTAAAAAAGCTTACGCGCGAGCTCTTGGGAAATCTCAAGGCAACCATAGGTTTTTCCAGATGTTCACAAAATGCTACGAAACGGGCTTCGCGCGCGCGCACGTCGAAATCTGTCGAACGCCCTTGCGCGTGTGCCGTCGCGAGAATCCTCTGCAAAAAATTTGACAAAGTGCAGACTCGCGCGTGCCGTCGCTCGCGTATGCCATAACCCATCAAAACCCATCGGTTTCGGAAGGATTTCAAAATCGTGTGTCCAAAAAACCAACAAAAACACAAGGTTTCGCAAAACGGATGTTCAACAAAAGCGTGCGCGCGCCCTTGCGTCGTCGTCGTCGTCGCCGTCCTCCCTCCTCCCGCGTCGTCGTCGTCGTCGTCGTCGCCTACGTCGTCCTCTGTCTTTCCTCGTGTCCGTCGTCGTCGTCCTCTTTGGCGTCGTGGTCGTTTCCGTCGTCGTTGTCGCCGTGGTCGTCCTTCCTCCACTCGTCGCCGTCGTCGTCCGTCGTCGGAGTCTCGTCGTCGTCCCTCCTATTTCGTCGCCGTCGTCGTCGTCGTCGTCGTCTTCCCTCCTCCCTCGTCGTTGTCGTCGTCGGCGTCGCCGTCCTTCCTCCTTCTTTGTCGTTCGCGTCGTCGCCGTCCTCCCTCCTCCCTCGTCGTTGTCGTCGTTGTCGCCATCGTCGTCCTCCCTCCTCCCTCGTCGTCTTCGTTGGCGACGTCGTCGTCGTCTTCGTCGTCGTCGTCGGCATCGAATCGTCGTCTTCGTCGTCGTCGACGTCGGCGTCGTCGTCGTCGCCGCCGTCGTCGTCGTCGTCTTCGTCGGCGTCGTTGACGTTGTCGTCGTCGTCGGTGTCGTCGTTGTCGTCGTCGTCGTCGGCGTCGTCATCGTCGTCGTCGTTGTCATCGTCGTCGTCGTCGTCGTCGGCGTCGGCGTCGTCGTCGTCGTCGTCGTCGGTGTCGTCGTCGTCGTCGTTGTCGGCGTCGTCGAAGTCGTTGGAGACGTCGTCGGTGTCGTCGTGGTCGTTGCGGGCTCGCGCGGCCGCAAAGATGTACCAGCCAACACCCAGCACTCATCGCAATCGTTCCCGCATGGGTTTTGCAAACCAAGTTGCGGGTGGGTGGGTGGGATGATTGCGCGAGCAGCGGAGTTGACAACTTCAAGTTCGGCAAGTGAGTTGCACCACATAGGCTGCACCACATAGGCTGTACCACATAGGTCGCACCATACTCACAATGAATCACCTCGGTTCCACTTCATATTATATTGCACGTAGCGCAGGTCACCTCGCTTAAGTTCAACCACGGTGGTGCACCATGTAGGTTGCAACGCATCGGTTGCACCTTGCACAGCTTGCACCATCCATTCGGCATGTCGATAGTGCAAGAATCCGCCGCTGAGGGCCAAAGACGCATGCACATGCGCGGAATCTGAAGGTGCCCATGATGGGATCACAAAAGATGCCGATCTGAAAAGAAAAAAAACACCCCAGTACTCGGGGGCGGCCAAAGGGGGGGCGTCCAAGAGGGGGGGGGGGGCGCAAATCATGACCGGCGGCATGTGCGCGGCCCGGGGGGGGGGACGGAATGAAATGAGAAGAGGCGCCATGAAATCTGAGGAATTATCATGGCCCACGCCATGATATCCACCCCCCTGGTCATCACCCGCATCTTGGCCGCCCCTGAAGTAAACATGCGAGAACCAACTACGCCTGCCAATGGACCCAATGCGGAGGAGGTGAAGGGGGCGAACGAAAGAACACCTGACAGTCTCAGAGGGTACACACATATGTACACACAGAGGAAGCACAACGGCAGAGGAGGGAATCACGGGGAACCACCTCGCGACCTGCCTACCTACCAGACCACCTCAGCCCAACCCGAGGACCCGATTTTTTCGCCCGAATTGCGGGTTGGGGGGGGGGGTACGGGCTCCACATGTGTGTTTGTTCAATGTTCCCCGACCCGCCCCCCACTGGAAACGGAGGGCAAATCGGGGCCTTCGGGTTGGGGTGGTTTGTGTGGGCGGTTACGAGCTGCCCAGCGAATTCTCAGAGGGAACGGAGCATGCGCTCCAAGATCTGGCTTCCCCTGCAAGCGCTTCTGTTACCTGGGACTCTGGAGGCTCCATAAAGGGCGGAAAATCCACCCCCAGAAGAATCACCCCGACACGCGAAGCCGTTTAGCAAACGCACCCAAAAAAGAATCAAACAAGGCAGGGCTGTTTAGTAAACGCCCAAGGCCGTATAGTGAACGCCAAATGTCGGGTCTGGGTGTTTTTTCCTCCCTTGACTTCAGCTGCACCTCACACGAGGCGCCACCGAAGGCACTGATATTGCTCTGACCGGCACCTGTTCTGATCAGCCCAGCGCGGCGGTCCTGCGCAGAACCACTTGTTCCGACGGCGGGCCCCATGTAAAAGCAGCTTCGGGAGCAGATCCTGTTTGAAGCATGTGTTGTCATATTTTTGTTCAAATAAGCTTACCACGCCCCCGAGCGGGGCAATAACATTGGGCAGAGTATCAGCGCCCGAATCTGCGTAGGGCCCGCCCTGGGGAAATCAGGAAAACAGCTGGGGAAACATTGTCTTGCCTTGGGGCGCCCTCCAGCCATTCATCCTGTGGTGTTGCGTTCTCGCTGTCCGCGTCACATTATCTTGCCTGTCCCGCCTCTCTCCTCCTTCCGCGACCTGCTAAGAACTCAAGACTCGTCGTGGCCCCATATGGGGCTCCACCGAAGACCCCAGTTACACAGGTTGCATGGGTCCCCACTCCCATAATTATCGACACACCCCTCACACGGTTCGTGTCCCCACACACAGCTCCACCGAACGCCTTTGGCAATGCTGTATGTGTCCCAGCGCTAAGTCAGGCACATGCATCAAACGTTCCGTGGCCACATATGGAGCCCCCCCGAAGGCCCAAGTGGCAAGGGTTGCATGTCCAGGCCCATGTCGGCAAATCCATCACATGTGTCGTGGCCCAACGGTGAGCTCCAAGGAAGGCCGTAATGGTCCAGGTTGTATACGTCCCCGCGCACGGTTCGGCCCTTTCAGAACTTATCATTCGTGCTTTGTTGTTGCCAGTCCCAAAGCCCAGGGAGAGCTCCGGGACCTTTAAAACGGAGAAAACCTGCAGGACCTGTTTCTGAAGAAAGGTACCCAGTCCTTGCACTGCTTTTCTGCTGTTTGACTCTTTCTCGAGAACCGATATATCTGCATTTTGGGCAATGCACAGAAGAATGCTGACACACACTCGACTAGTCTAAAAAAAATCAGCCCTACACACCTAGCAAACCTGGGGCACTGACCCATGTCCACCGAGACTCCTTCCCAAACATGCGACGTCCTGATTTTTTCAGGACGGCGTCCCCGGAAATCCCGACCCTTTCCCCGGGGCCGGTTTTTCATCCCGATTCGTTTTTTGACGGTCCCGGGGCCCGGAGAGGGCCTCTGGAGACCGAAAGCGGCGAAACATCTCCGTCCTGAAGTTTTTTACGATCCGATCACGTCTGAGTTCCCTCCCTGGCGGATCACCCCTGGCAGCCCCCCTTTGAGCTGGGGCCGCGCGGAAGTCACCCCTGCTCGGTCGCTGTGCCGAGCTGGCTGGGCGAGACTTGGGTTAAGTCGGGCGTGTCCTCCTACAGGGGGATTTTCGACGAATAACTAAACATACCCCCAAAATAATCCCCAAATAATCCGAAAATAATCTGGGGACTATTTTTGAATATTTGTTGGCCTGCTTGGGATATTTTTGGGGTATTCTTTTAATTGCTCGTCGAAAAAACCCCTGTAGGGGGACACGCCCGACTTGAGACTTGGGAGCCGGCACCCCCTGCGGCCTCGAGCCTTCGCCTGGGGACAGCACGTGGCAACGACGACTGCCCCGCCCGCGGATCACCCCTGGCATCATATCGGGCGTGTCCCCCGACAAAAGCGGCTTTGGGACGAAGAGTGCCAAATACACAAAAATACTGAAAATCATCCAACAAATCATCGAAACATCGTCCCCATACTATCTTTTAAACCATTCTTGAGTATTCCTCCTGTAGAAGGACACGCCCGACTTAACCCTGGCAGCCCCTTCAAAGATATAGCGTCTTAGCATGGGGGAAGCGGGTCCTGAAGGAAACGGGTCCTGGACCAGGGGGCCTTCCCCCAGGACGAGAGCTTCCTCCGGAACTGTTGTCAGACTTGGGGCCCGTGGAGGGCCCCGAGAGAGCCCGAACACGACGAAAACCCCCAAGACCCCTTTCCCTCAGGACCCGTTTCCCCCAGCGGAAACTGGGACGCACGAAGACATAATAGTACTATGTGTTCTCCTTGGAGGCTGGCGTCCGACCCGAACATATAGTATACCCATCTTTTAGTATATCGTTTCCCGAGCGGTGTGGCCAGAAAGCGCTCGCCACGACGCATACACTGCAAGATCTGTCGGTGCGCGCGTCGCCCCTGGGATGGCGACGCACATGTAGTAGAAGTATGTTGGAGTGGCGCCGAGAGAAAGCGAGAGCGTCCGTCGGCAGCTCCAAAGGATGTGGTGTGCAAATGGTGTGGTTTGCAACCGGAACCCTGGGGAACATCCTGGGGGGCACCCTAGGGGGCGCGCGGGGACCTCGATAGAGTTCTCCCGCGCCCCGAGGAGGCCCGACGAGCCCCCCAGGCCCCAGCAGTGCCGATCGCAAGCCGCACCCCGGCGCAACCATACCCTGTGCAGTCGCCGAGTCCGACTCGTGCATCTTCTCCAGGATGGTCACCCGGTATCTCTCCAGGTGCTCCTGTGCCGCGGGTCGCCCGCTCTCTCTCTCTCTCTCTCTCTCTCTCTCTCTCTCTCTCTGCGGGAGCGGTCCGCAGGCGCGCCGCCCGTCGGGCCGCGACGGAGGGGAGGGCGGAACCGCTCGGGGCGCCTCGGGAGGAGGAGAAGGAGGAAAACGTGGAGGAGGAGGAGGAGGAGAAGGAGGAGGAGGAGGAGGAGGAGGAGAAGGACAACGTGGAGGAGGAGGGGGAGGAGGAGGAGGAGAAGGAGGAGGAGGAGGAGGAGGAGAGGAGGAGAGGAGAGGAGGAGGAGGAGGAGGAGGAGGAGGAGGAGGAGGAGGAGGAGGAGGAGGGAGGAGGGGAGGACGAGGAGGAGGAGGGATGGAGAGGGGGAGGGGTGGGAGGAGGGGTGGGAGGAGATGGAGGGGTAACCGGTGGGGAGGGCAAGGAGGGGGAGGAAGAGGCGGGGGAGAAGGGGAGAAGGGGAGGAGGGTGAGGGAGAGGTGGAGGAGGAATGGAAGGGGGACAAAGGGAGATCAGGGGGAGGAGGCACGATGGAAGAGGAGGAGGACAGAGGGGCGGACATGGAAGATGCATGGAAGGAGAAGGCGGCGCGGGAGAATCCAACGACACATGCCACAAGGGCTCGATCCAACCCACGTCCTCCCGTGGCCCGTCAGCCCTGTTCTTGCCACGAGAAAAGAGGCAGGGGAGGGGGATGTGGGAAGGGACGGGCGGGTGTGAACTGGACCTCCGTATATACGCTGGGGCAACAAGCCGCAAAACACCTGACGGCAGAATGTGCCAACGCGTGGGAGAATCAGCGGGCCCAGAAGCCGCACACGAACGCCGAATATTTGCCAACTGATGGGGCAGCCCAGACTTAGCGGTGGCGCGCAGCTATGACACGGCTTAGGGGAGCAGTGACGAATGCGCGAACGACTTCTCCTGTAATTCTCGCATCACTCCTCTAATCAATTAAAAAGATGTCTATTCAATCCTCATTCCATATCCCGTCCTTGTTTCCTTTTCGTTCAACCACCTCCTGCCGTGTCTCCGTCAGGATTATTTTCTTCATTCGCTCCGCCTCCCTCCCCCGCCTGTCCTTACGTTGTCACCCGCCCCCTGTTCTCTCTCTCTCTCTCTTTCTCTCTCGCTCTCGCTCTCTATCTCTCTCTCTGTCTCTCTCTCCGTCTCTCTCTCTCTCTCTCTTTTTCTTTCCCTCCCTCCGTCCCCCTCCCTCTCGTTATCTCGCTCCTTTGTTGTTGTTTTACTCGTTCTCGTTCTCCATGTTTCTCTCTCTCTCTCTCTCTCCTCTCTCCCTGTCTCCATCTCTGTGTCTATCTCTCTCTCTCTCTCCCGGGTTATCCCTCTCGCTCTCTCTTATGGTCGATATATATATATATATATATATATATATATATTTCTCTCTCTCTCTCTCTTCCTCGTTCCTGCCTCTCTCTCTCTCTTGCCCTGCCTCGCTGCCTCTGCTTCGGCCGGAAAGATTCCGGTTGCAACTCATTTCTCCTTCACCGCGCCCGCGATGTCTATCAAGCCGTCGCCATCAGCACTGTTACCATCGGCGTGGCCATTACAGCGACCCCTACAATCGTCATCATATCCCACCTCCTCGTTGCCATCCTTAACATAATCAGCATCATCCCCATCACCATCACCATCATCATCAGCATCACCATCATCGGTATCAGCATCAGCATCAGCAACAGCATCGCCATCCTGATCATAATCACCATCCGCATTTTCACCATCATTGACGTCATTGTCGTTCTCGTCGCCAGCAAAACCAGTTGGTCCCAATGCACGGGTGGCAATGCAGAGATAACGACCGATGACCGATGACCTGGTAAATCCGTATACCAATATGCGAATAAGAACCCGTGAGCGTGAACTCGCCATCAAACTCCATGTCCAGAGTGCGAGTGAAAGCCCAGGCAGAGATGGGCCAGGAGAGGGGAACCGAGCAGCAGCTGTGCCAGCGACCACACCTGAGATGGCCCTCGCAATCCCCGTGGTCGAGGATTGGTCGGAGCGGGGCGGAAGCCCCGGGAGGGGCACTCTGCTCTCCCAGTGTCTAGGATCGTCGCAAGAGCGTTTTTGTCTGAAACATTTGTTTCACTGGGGTCGGGGCTTCCGTTGACGCTGGGGGCAGCTTGCGCGGCTCGCAACATAGCAACGCCATTCAGCGCGCGCGGGGGTGCACGCGGGCACTCAGAAGCGCGCGGCTACTGGGAGAGACGCCCGCAAGCGGCCATGCGAGACCACGGGCGCTCACAGGCACGCGGAAGCAATGGCAAGCACTCCCGCGTGTTCACATCTTCCCAAAAGGTTGGCGAGACCTTCCACGCGTGCCCACGAGCACCCGCAACTGATCACGAAGCGCCCGCGGGCGGTCGCAGTCGCGGGCACGCGCCCAAAGGCGGCCACACAAACGCAGAAACGCCCGCCGAAACCTTCCCTGTATGCTGCCCCGCAGGCACTCGGAGGCCTCCGCCCAGCGTCGCGACCAGGGGGCCACGTAGTGAGTCGGGCGAATGTTTCTCAGCCTTTCCGGTCGCCCTCGGCATCCCTGCGCGCTGGCAAGGGGCGTTTTTTTTTTTTTTTTTTTTTTCTTACAGCAACTTCCGGAAGCCCATCGACCCCCAACGCATATTGAACGGCTGATGATGTGATGAGGGGGCCTGAGCGTGCTCCAACATTTACAAGAACGTTAGGTCGCAGAGGGGGGCCTTGGCGGCCTGTGTGTTAACATATATTATGCATGGGCAAGTAAAAAATTATCCCGGCAAAGCAACCTAACAGCGATGTGTAGAAGCATATCTGAAAGCATTCCCCTTAAGACTCAGATGAAAATCCAGTTGTCGAATTCTGCTGTTCTCGCAGTCGTAGTCGCATTCGCGATGACAGTCGCAGCGGCAACGGCAGTCGCAGTCACAGCCTCAGCCTCAGCCTGCCTCCTCCTCCTCCTCCTCCTCTTTCTCCTGCTCCTCCTCCTCCTCCTCCTCCTCCTCTTCCTCCTGCTCGTCCTCGTTCTCGTCCTCCTCGTCTTGCTCGTCCTCCTCCTCCTGGTGCTCTCTCCTCCTCCTCCTCCTCCTCCTCCTCCTCCTCCTCCTGGTGGTCCTCGTTCTCCTCCTCCTGGTGCTCTCCCCCCCCCTCCTCCTCCTCGTCCTCCTCCTCCTCCTCCTCCTCGTCCTCCTCCTCCTCTCCTCCTCCTCCTCCTCCTCCTCCTCCTCCTCCTCCTCCTGGTAGTCCTCCCCCTCCCCTCCTCCTCCTCCTCCTCCTCCTCTTCCTGGTCGTCCTCGTTCTCGTCCTCCTCGTCTTGCTCGTCCTCCTCCTCCTGGTGTTCTCTCCTCCTCCTCCTCCTCCTCCTCCTCCTCCTCCTCCTCCTCCTCCTCCTCCTGGTGGTCCTCGTTCTCCTCCTCCTGGTACTCTCCCCCCCCCTCCTCCTCCTCCTCCTCGTCCTCGTCCTCCTCCTCCTCCTCCTCCTCTTCCTCCTCCTCCTCCTCCTCCTCCTCCTCCTCCTCCTCCTCCTCCTGGTACTCCTCCCCCTCCCCTCCTCCTCCTCCTCCTCTTCCTGGTCGTCCTCCTCCTCCTGGTCGTCCTCCTCCTCCTGCTCGTCCTCCTCCTCCTCCTGCTCGTCCTTCTTCTCCTGCTCCTCCTGCTCCTCGTCCTGCTCCTGCTCGTCCTCGTCCTCCTGGTCTTGCTCGTCCTCCTCCTCGTCGTGCTCTTGCCCCTGCTGAAAATGTGGCCCAGGAATGGGAGTTCTGGGAAGTCGAAGAGCACGAAGTTGCCTACAGTTGGCTACGGGCATTCAAAATGTAGCCCGGGAATGGAGTTCTGGGAACTCGAAGAGCACGAAGTGGCCTACAGTTGGCTCCGGGCATTCAAAATGTGGCCCGGGAATGGAGTTCTGGGAACTCGAAGAGCACGAAGTGGCCTACAGTTGGCTCCGGCCCTCCAGAATGTGGCCCGGGAATGGAGTTCTGGGAACTCGAAGAGCACGATGTGTGTGACTGTTGCATCCGGCCCTCAGAATGTGGCCCGGGAATGGCGTTCTGGGATGTCGAAGAGCACGAAGTGTGTGACTGTTGCATCCGGTTATTCTAAATGTGGCCCGGGAATGGCGTTCTGGGATCTCGAAGAGCACGAAGTGTGTGACTGTTGCATCCGGGTATTGAGAATGTGGCCTGGGAATGGAGTTCTGGGAAGTCGAAAAGCACGAAGTGTGTGACTGTTGGTGAAAAACGAGCCCGGCACCTGCCGCCCGGCAACTCCCAACACCTGCCCGGACCCCCCTGTGGAGTGATCTGCTGCTCTCTTTTGATCCCACTAGAAACCTATCAGTCTTCGCTGTTAGGTAATCATGACGCATACGCCGGTACAGAGAAATATACATGTATGGGCGGGCGTACATAACGATATGCACGGACCAGTGTAGCACGACATCTGTGTACAGGTGTATCCAGGATGCGGCGACATGTTCCCAGCCGTCCATGTATGCAGAGGGCCTCACTCGGGCATTGCCTTTTGGATGAGCACTGCCTCGCGGGATTCCCGTGTGGCTTTGCTGGGCTCTCACGGGTGTCATGGGGTTCGCTCGTGGGGCTCTCACATGTCTCGCGGGGTTCGCTCGTCGGGCTCGTCGGGCTCTCGCGGCCTCGGAGGGCTACAACAAGACCCCCAAAGGGCCCCAAGAGGGTTCCAGATGGCCTCAATAAGGGCAAATCAGGACCCCAACAGGGCCATATGATGGCCCCAAGGGGTCCCCACAGATGTGTCACGGCCGTGAAACATCCCCGGGGCCCTCTCGGGGCCCTCTCGGCCCCCCCTGGGAGCCTCCTTTGGGCCCCTCAGGAAAGGCGGCAGAGGCCTCAGGAAGAGTCAAAGGAGGGTTTCAAGAGGGCCTCAAGAGGCCCCCAAAAAGGCCCACGGGATTATGTACCACAAAGGGGTCGGTCGGTAGACATTCCTGGGCACCTCTTGGGGACATCTGCGGTGCTCTTGG